GTGAAAGATGAAGAAAAGATAACCACATCATCTAAATATAGGAGAAGGGAATGGAACCGCTGATCCCCGATAATGCACTTCATCAGTCTCTGGAATGTCCCAGGTGCATTGCACAAGCCAAAAGGCATCCGCTGAAACTCAAAGAGGCCAAATGGTGTACAGAATGCAGTCTTGGCTCAGTCTTTCTAGGCTACCGGTACTTGATTGTAACCACTAGCCAAGTCCAAGGTCGAGAACATGCAGGCGCCAGTAAGAGCATCTAAAGATTCCTCTATACGTGGAAGGGGAAATGCCATCCTTTCTTGTTCTTGAATTTAGCTGATGATAATCAACACACAAACGGATGGACCCATCTTTCTTCTTGACCACAACAATAGGTGAAGAGAAAGGACTGCAACTCGCCCGCACCACTCCCTGCTCCAACAACTCTTGAATATGAGCTTTAACAAGATCATACTGGGATGGGGGAAGTCGTCTGTAGCGCTGACGAATTGGTGTATCATCTAGTAAAGTAATTTCGTGTTCTATCAAATTGGTACACCCCAAGTCACCATCGTTCTGGCTAAAAACTACACCGTACTTCTGTAATAAAGCCTTAGCTTCCTCTTGTTCTAAGCATGACAAATTTGACCATGATAACTCGTCAAATCCTGGGACAGTATGGTTTCCTGCCACAGCTGATTGAATAAATAGAGTGGAGCCTGGAACAATCTCTTCCTCACAAAAACTCACAGGTCGATTACTGGGACATATGCTCACCATCTGGAGTCTACCCAAAAATGTGCGAGGTTGTAATCATCTATCCTGAGTCCCTATGTTAACTAAGGGTACATGTACAATTCCATCTCCCAGAGCTACAAGGGCACATGGGATCAGGAGGTCTGCTGGTAGTTGCCAGTCGCCTGCACCAGGGGGCTCTATAAATACAGACGAGATAAGTGTACTTACTCCCTGCCTGCAAAAAGCTCGAACTAGCTTAAAGGATCCAGCTGGAATGCAAACAGGAAACACAACCAAAAAATTCGGAATCTGTTCAAAAATCTGGCATTCAGTCAAAGCATATTTCAAAGGTTCAGGTAAATCTACAGCTGAAGGGGAATGGAACAATGTAGCACCATGTTGGCTAAACAACTCTTGGTAACTTATAAAATATTCATCCCGAACAAAACAGGGACAGTGCATTTCTTTTTCTGTGTTAATGCATCAGGAGAATCCTGTACAACCAATATGCCCATACGAGGCACATTTTTACCCAGAATCATTACATCTAATTCTAAGTAGCCCCTATAGGGGATATCTAATCCATTTGCAGCTTTAAGTTGTAACCAGCCACATGCCTGTAGATTACCCTGGACCTGAGACTGGAAATGCTCCTTAAAAAAACCCTCGGTAATAGTTGGCACCATCAAACCTGTATCTACAAGGCATGGTACATCCACACCTGCCATAGTTACTTTAATCACTGGGCACTGGCCAATAAGCGTAGAATGGGCAGTGGATGCATTAACTTTCCATGGTGAGCCAACAAAATCACCATCTAGAACCTGGCTCTGAGCGCTAGATGCAGTTAGTTTCCCGGCAACCCAGTGGACTGACAATTTCCCCCATGGCTCGTACGTCCCCCCTGATTATTATAACGTCTAGCAATATTCCCTGATTGCCCACATTGCATACAAATAGGATGACCATCTGAATCAAATCGATATCGTTGGGGGCGATTATTTGGGCCATTAGATGGAACATGCTAAACAGGAGTAGACAACCGTTGTAGAATAGTGTCCAATTGTGCTTGCTGCTTACACAGTGTCTCTTTCAATTCATTTATTTCTTTACTAGACTCAACTACCACAGAACTAGTCTTTCCTTCCAGATCTGCTACATCACTATGGGTATCACAAGAGTAAGCTCTAACCCGAGGGACATTACACCGCTCTCCATCATCAGCCCAACGTATTGCTTCACTACGAATGTCAATAAAGGATATAGAAGGTTGTTGTCTAATAAGACATTTCAATTCTCGGCGACGCATACCATCACGAACATGCTCTGCAAAATGGTCACGTATTATTTCATCATAATCATGGATTTCTGATGGGTTCTTACGTTTAACTACCTCCATTAAGGCCATTAATGAGTAAGAAAACTCTCGCAGCGTCTTCCCATCCTGCTGACATCATTAGCACCCAAATGTTTCGAGCAAAATAGCTCAAATTTGTTCAGGGTCATTCCTGACTGAAGCAGGACAAAACCTAATTTCAGACCTAGCCTCCCCCTTCAAGTGATCATACACGAACAAAGCTTGCCCAGTTAATGTCATGTATCTAGAATTCAAGCATCTACGAGCTTCCTCTACCCCAAGGCATCCCTCACCCATACTGCCTGAAAACCTTGAGCATTTTCGTTCACGGGGAAGACAGACATACCTTGAGCCAGTAAGACCATCATCATGGCTATTTACTACCCCTCCCTGTCCTTCCACTGCATTCTGCTGGGCTGCCGCTTCCTGGCGAAGCTTGACATTATCAGCTTGTAGCTGCTGAAGCTGTTCTGTCAGGGCTCTAATCTGGTCTTGCTCCCCCTCAGACATAATCTAGGTAAAGAGCAAATAAACACTAGAAAAAACTAAAACAAATAAACAAGCAGGATAGGTATGGGAAATACAATAATCTTGACCTCGAAGCCCAACATCAATGGTAATGTGAAGATGCTCCCACGACGTCCTCTTGCCAACCACTGTTTTCCTCTTTGTACTTTGTGACGAGTGGGGGCGGGGCCGAGAGCCGTGGGAATGGAGTGAGGCCAGTGGAGTAATTGATGATGAGCGACACCTGCACCACTCACCGGTCTCGAGTCCCACGGAGGAGCTCTGGAAGGATAAAAGGAGGAGTGACGACAGTGAAAGACGAGAGAGGACCAGGCCTGGACTTTATTTTGTGTTTTGGTTCTGTTTGTGGATGACAGTCGTCCGCAAGGGGCTGTCGTGCTATTTTGTGTTTGTTTTATTATTAAAGTTTTCTTTAAATGTTCGCCGGTTCCCGCCTCCTTCTTACCGTGACTACGAACTGTGTTACATTGGTGCCGAAACCCGGGAGGAAGGAGGGACACGCTGTCAGAGAGCCCTCGCTGCTGAGGGGGATCGCGGTGCTGAGGAGATCAAGCAGCAGGAACAAGCGGAGAGACCGCCGGTGGCTGCCCGAGGCGGTGGTGCTGGAACTATGGAAGACAAGGTGGGACGAGAGCTCGCTGCCGCACTCCTGGGTCGAGGAGGGGTGGCTGCCGTCCGAGAGGGAGCGGAGGAGTCGGCCCCGTTCGCCAGGAGGCTGGAGCCTGCTGCCATCCACCATGATTGGGGAGGAGTAGGGAACGGGGGACTCGCTGCCGGCTGCCCTCAATAGGAGGAGCCATCGCCGTCCGTCAGGAGGCGGAGAAGTGGTAGGCCGTCCACCAACGATGTCCAGTACCATCGCATGGCACCGCGAGTGAGAGCCTCCTAATTAAAGGACAAAGGCAGGTGCTGGTGTACAAAATACATAACTTTATTCCTTATTACACTTGCATATGCATATAATGCTAAGACATTTCACAACATGACAGGTAAAAAAAAGGGTATAATGTGGTGTACACAGGCAAGGCAGGTCATAAACCCTTTAAATACAAAACCCACTACACACAATAAGTTACTCCAATTCACAAGCAGAGAATCACACCACAAATTAAGCAATCACGTGATACACTGCAATCAGCACACTACTGTGATAAACTTTAAAGGGTATTATTGCAATGCCATTACACTGTGAATTGTACCGTTGTTACCATCAATACCCAAACAAACAAAATAAAATACAATTCCAAAGAAATACAACAATGCAATACAATACAAACGAAAACAAACTACGAAAAGAACACAAGAAAAATCTCTCACCCTTCACGTTTCTCAACGCGCTCACTGAGCGCTGCGTCTAATTAACACACAAACACTAAATCATTAATTTAATATGGAGGTAAAGAAAACAGTGCCTGACAAAGTGATCTCTGAGTGTGATCTCTACACTCATAGGTAGTTAAAGCAGAAAAAGCCAACTGCGCCTTACCAACTAACACGCACTGCAACAACACCATTTGTTTTAGACCAACCTTGTATTTCAGCGACACTTTCAAAAAGAGTAAAAAACACATCCGGATCATGTTCATTGAATTTAGGAACAAGTTTTAAATTTTTATTAAGTGGAAAACGTCCACAAGCACCAGATTCCACTGAACTATTGGTATTCATCTTACTTTCTTGTAACAGTTTGACTTTTAAATACTCCAGCTCCATTTTAGCCTTTTCTAACTCAAGCTTACCTTATTCAGATTGTTGTTTCATTTTCTCATGATCTATTTGCAATAACAATAACTCTTTTTGTTGGTCAAAAGTTAAAACAGACTGTGAAGCAGATAAGCTTTGCACCTAGACATCTTTAATTTGCTCTATTTCAGCTGGTAAAATTCCCTTTTCCATCAACTTATCTCAACTAAATTTTAATAGTACTTTCTTTGAATGTCTAATTTCTTTAATTTCATAAAACTCTGTGATTCTTAAGAGTTGCTCTTTTGTGAATTTATTCAACGATACATGTGAAGGCGCTTTAGCAAACTTTTCAACATCAGCCTTAAACACTTCACAGACCGCAAGTAACTAATTGTGCAATCAAACACTCAAATTTTCCCCCTATCTACCTTTACCAAATAAACAGTCTATCTAACTGACTAGAACCTGATCTTCATGCAGTTACCAGTGTTGTGTAATATTCGGTTCCCGTGATAAACTGATCCAATGGGCAGGGTGCAGGGTTAGTACGAATATTCATAGATTAGTGTTGGAAGAGAGAGGACCAGGCCTGGACTTTATTTTGTGTTTTGTGTGCGGCAGTCATCCGCGAGGGGCTGCCGCTTTACTTTCGTTTTGTGTTTGTTAATTTTATTAAATTGTTTAAATGTCCGCCGGTTCCCGCCTCCTTCTCCCCTTTTACTTATTTTTCACCTGCACAGCAATCAACCATTCACCAACTCACAACATACAATAATAATAAAACTTAGGGGGAAAAGACAAAGACAGAGAGAAAAAAAAGGAAAATAAATAAAGAATAATGGTAACACCAGCAACCACCTAACACCCTGCCGACTACGCCAAATGTGGCCTTCAGGTGCCTTACCGTGCTCAGAAATGGACAAATGCCTGATTAAACAATTAATAGCATGCATATCCTAATTAAAGGACAAAGGCAGGTGCTGGTGTACAAAATACATAACTTTATTCCTTATTACACTTGCATATGCATATAATGCTAAGACATTTCACAACATGACAGGTAAAAAAAAGGGTATAATGTGGTGTACACAGGCAAGGCAGGTCATAAACCCTTTAAATACAAAACCCACTACACACAATAAGTTACTCCAATTCACAAGCAGAGAATCACACCACAAATTAAGCAATCACGTGATACACTGCAATCAGCACACTACTGTGATAAACTTTAAAGGGTATTATTGCAATGCCATTACACTGTGAATTGTACCGTTGTTACCATCAATACCCAAACAAACAAAATAAAATACAATTCCAAAGAAATACAACAATGCAATACAATACAAACGAAAACAAACTACGAAAAGAACACAAGAAAAATCTCTCACCCTTCACGTTTCTCAACGCGCTCACTGAGCGCTGCGTCTAATTAACACACAAACACTAAATCATTAATTTAATATGGAGGTAAAGAAAACAGTGCCTGACAAAGTGATCTCTGAGTGTGATCTCTACACTCATAGGTAGTTAAAGCAGAAAAAGCCTTTAGCAAACTTTTCAACATCAGCCTTAAACACTTCACAGACCGCAAGTAACTAATTGTGCAATCAAACACTCAAATTTTCCCCCTATCTACCTTTACCAAATAAACAGTCTATCTAACTGACTAGAACCTGATCTTCATGCAGTTACCAGTGTTGTGTAATATTCGGTTCCCGTGATAAACTGATCCAATGGGCAGGGTGCAGGGTTAGTACGAATATTCATAGATTTGTTCCGCGGTGGGCGTGGCCTTTTGAACTACAAACAAGCGAATGGAAAGGATTGTGTTGTCTGTTCTTCAGCTCATGTGTGATGAATTATTTTGAAAAGGTAATAAAGCCGAATGTTCATACGCCCCGTTTAGATGTACAGCTGTTTGTTATTCACATAATAGGCTAAAATGCTCATTGTTTCGCATGTGCTTTTATCAGAACACTTTATCATGTCCATATGACAATGTTTTGCTGTGTAGCTTACGTGGATGATACTAAACACCAAACAATTAAACTAAATTGACTGCAATTAAACTCAAATGTCGTTAGATGCATGTTAAAATAAAATAAAAAATTATGTTATCTGGTGTTGTTTTGTTGCCTTTTTTCATGTTTTTTTTTTGTTGTTTTTTTTGTCAAGAGCCTTGTAACAATTAAAAAAAAAAAAGAATTAGCAACTGAGACATGTTGTTTATGGGTGTTTTCTGAGAACTAAAATGCAATTTAAGAGAAGAGAGACCAAAAGGGGAAAAAAGTCATTTTTTATTTATACTAAACACACATACACACGAAGAGTTAACTTTTCCAATTTTATTCATGCATAAATACATGCAGCAATGCATTACACATTGTAGGTGTTATCAGAATGCATATTTTCTCTAGCTGCACAAACACAAGATATTACAAAATAAATTAAAGAAACATAAATAACACAAATTAAAACTCAGCTGTATCTAAAGTTTGTTTAAATGCAGATTTTGCAAGAAACTACTGGCACATGTCCTTAATTCATGTTTTTGTCTGTTTACACTAATTTACATACATGTACACAAGTATGTTTAAAGCAAGTTGGAAAATACAAAAATGTGATAGGTGGTTATAGCAATGATTAGAACAACAACAGTCCAAACCAAAGAAAAAACACAAATTTTATAATACTGTGTTTGGCAAGCTGTTCCTTGCCCATCATCCTTGCACACTGAGGGGAACATATAATTAAACATTAAAAGAAGTAATGAACATTTTTATTAACTAGCTACATTAATCCAATTTGTTAAGCAACATAAACGAGCTGTGGTGTTGAGTTAAATAATTATATTAAATAGTATAAATAACAGCCTCTGATGAATAGGCCATGCCCATCAACCAAATATTTTGTTAGCTGGATTTCAAAAATGGATAGGAAAACTTTCCTCTTGTTGTGCGATTTAAAAAAAGTCTGGGACAATCCCTGATGATTTAACAAAAAGCCAAAAACATGTGCTTTTGAGAAGGGCAAAGAAATTCATGATGAAGGGTGATTGAGGCATATTTGGTTTTATGTAGATCTTGGGTGGATGAGTCTTCTGGGGTGTAAAGATAATGGATTGTACAGTAATAAACAAATATACTGCCTTTAGATTAAGTTTTGTATTATATAAGAAGATGGGGAGAGGGTGGGTTAGCCAAGGTGTTATGATGCAGAGAGGAGGCAAAACAGATATTCAATTAATTCCACACCAGTCCAATCAGTGACCACTGTGATATCATCAAAACAACAGATGCCATCAGTAATCGATTTTACTGGCCTTCCATGTCTGTGGACATTAGAAATTGGGTAAGTAGAAATTAACTTTTTCATGTACATACAGTATACACTCTACTACTCCTAAATGACTCTGACTTTAGGTCACGCACTGTGCTGCCTGCCAGTGTTACGTATCCGGTCCATGAACTTCCGTCTGCTAGCCATCAGAGGTCACCCTTTCCATTTTCATTGACTCTCGCACTACACACTGTTGCATAGCACCCCGGACTACATATCCCATCATTCATTGCACTGATTGCACACAGCACTGATTGCACACAGCTGTTTCATATCACACACTCATTATTTATACACTCACTCATACCGAGTATTGTATAGCTTTTATCACTCTCATAGCGATAGCTACTGTACGGAGCCTGTCTAGTTTTTCCATAGCCTTATCTTAGTCTTGCCTTGTCTGTTTTCTCGTGTCCTGATCTTGGCCTGTGTATCTCAGATTCCCCCTCTCGTCTTGCCCTACTCGGATACTGTTTGCCCCTGCCTGGACCTTTGCCTTGTACCTGGATTTATCCCTCTAGTCTCACCCTGTTGATTCTGTTCGCCGATCGTAGACCCACACTAGCCCTAGGTTTATTCTTGTGTCTTGCCCTCTATATACCTGTTGCCATTGTCTGAACCTTGCCTGTTTCTGACCACGTCTCTTAAATAAAAGCTTGCAGATGGATCCGCACGTCTCACGTCTTGTCAACCCCGTAACAGAATACTCGGCCACACAAGGATCCAGCAGCTATTCAAGTGGACATTGGCCAGGTATGGACACTGCAAGAATATTATTAGCCCTTAAACAAGGCCCGCGATCGCTGGAGAACTATATTAGAGAATTTCTAGCCATACCACATTATGCTGATCTACCAGACTGTCTTCTGATAGAGTTTTTTTGTGATGGCCTGAATCAACCTCTGCGATCTGAGATTAGACGCGAGGGTCCGCGTTCATCACTGAGTTGTTTTTCTTTATTTTTCTTTGTTGACTGTTGGCTCTCCATTCACTGTGGGTATCACGGAGGAACGCGACCCCGCACTCACTCCTGTAATGGCCCCCGCACTAGATTACGCTCACAAAATGGTGGCGACAGATGAGCCTGATCACAAAATGGCGGACACAACAGCGCCCCGTCAAGTCACAGCTGATCGTCATGAGTCCAGTCTAGTCACAGTTGATCGTCATGAACCAAGTCAAGTCACAGTTGTTCTTCAGGAGTCAAGTCAGGTCACAACATATCTTCATGAGTCAGGTCTAGTCACAGTTGATCTCTCTGAGTCAAGTCTGGTCACAGTTGATCATCATGAGTCAAGTCAAGTCACAGTTGTTCTTCAGGAGTCAAGTCAGGTCACAACATATCTTCATGAGTCAGGTCTAGTCACAGTTGATCTCTCTGAGTCAAGTCTGGTCACAGTTGATCATCATGAGTCAAGTCAAGTCACAGTTGTTCTTCAGGAGTCAAGTCAGGTCACAACATATCTTCATGAGTCAGGTCTAGTCACAGTTGATCTCTCTGAGTCAAGTCTGGTCACAGTTGATCATCATGAGTCAAGTCAAGTCACAGTTGTTCTTCAGGAGTCAAGTCAGGTCACAACATATCTTCATGAGTCAGGTCTAGTCACAGTTGATCTCTCTGAGTCAAGTCTGGTCACAGTTGATCATCATGAGTCAAGTCAAGTCACAGTTTCCATTGCTGAGTCAAGTCAAGTCTCAGCTGATCTGCCAGAGCCTCGTCACGTCTCAGCTGATCTCCCAGAGTCTCATAATGTCTCAGCTGTTTGTTCCGAGTCACGTCACATCACAGCTGATCATCCAAAGTCATGTCACATCACGTCTGTTCGTGCAGAATCCTGTCACTTCCTGTCTGTTACACCCAGATTCTCAAGGTCAGCCCTTCGGTATCCCAGTCTGGTATCCAGTGTGAGGGATGCACCGCTGGTGTCTGCACGCACAGCTGGTATCCCCAAACCCACTCACTCTAACCCTTCTGTTCATGAACTCATTCCCCTGTCTGCAGCACTTCCCATATGGGGGGTTGCTTTATTGTGTATCTGGGCCGCGTACTCCACCGCCGATTTGCTAGTATATTGTTAGAAAAGATTTATATTTTGAATAAATGCTGTTCTTTTTAACTTTTTATTCATCAAAGAATCCTGAAAAAAAGTATCAGTTTCCCAAAAAAATATTGTGCAGCACAGCATTAATAATTCTAATAATAAATCAGCATATTAGAATGATTTCTGAAGATCACGTGGCCTGTTCTGTTCCGGCCAAGGAGGCCATCTATGAACTCTCTGGTTTTCCTGTTCCGGTCAAGGAGGCCACCTATGAATTCTCTGCCTGTCCTGTTCTGGCCAAGGAGGACACCTATGAACTCTCTGCCTGTCCTGTTCTGGCCAAGGAGGCCGCCTATGAATGCTCTGCCTGTTCTGTTCCGGCCAAGGAGGCCATCTATGAACTCTCTGGTTTTCCTGTTCCGGTCAAGGAGGCCACCTATGAATTCTCTGCCTGTCCTGTTCTGGCCAAGGAGGACACCTATGAACTCTCTGCCTGTCCTGTTCTGGCCAAGGAGGCCGCCTATGAATGCTCTGCCTGTTCTGTTCCGGCCAAGGAGGCCATCTATGAACTCTCTGGTTGTCCTGTTCCGGTCAAGGAGGCCACCTATGAATTCTCTGCCTGTCCTGTTCTGGCCAAGGAGGACACCTATGAACTCTCTGCCTGTCCTGTTCCGGCCAAGGAGGCCATCTATGAACTCTCTGATTGTCCTGTTCCGGCTATGGAGGCCGTCGGTGAACTCTCTGTCTGTCCTATCACGGCTAAGGAGGCCGTCTGTGAATCCTCGTCCTGCCCTGTCACGGCTATAGAGGCCGTCTGCGAACTCCCTGCTCATCCTGTCACAGCTATGGAGGCCATCTGCGAACTCCCTGCTCATCCTGTCACGGCTATGGAGGCCGTCGGGAATCCTCATCCTGTCCTGTCACGGTTATGGAGGCCGTTTGTGAATTCTTTGCTTGCTTTGTTTCGGCCCAGGCAAGGAGGCTGCCTCTGAACGCTCAGCCTTGTCTATCAACCCCAATGTTCTGTCTGTGTTGTCTGTCTCTGCTCTCTCGTTGTTACAGTTTCTGCCATGGTCTCCTGGTCAGTGTGGTTCACCGGGGGGGTTTCCTGTTCCTTCTGCTCTGCCGTGGTGGTCTGTCTGGTCTGTTACGTATCCGGTCCATGAACTTCCGTCTGCTAGCCATCAGAGGTCACCCTTTCCATTTTCATTGACTCTCGCACTACACACTATTGCATAGCACCCCGGACTACATATACCATCATTCATTGCACTGATTGCACACAGCACTGATTGCACACAGCTGTTTCATATCACACACTCACTATTTATACACTCACTCATACAACCATTCGGGGCCGAGTATTGTATAGCGTTTATCACTCTCATAGCGATAGCTACTCTACGGAGCCTGTCTAGTTTTCCATAGCCTTATCTTAGTCTTGCCTTGTCTGTTTTCTCGTGTCCTGATCTTGGCCTGTGTATCTCGGATTCCCCCTCTCGTCTTGCCCTACTCGGATACTGTTTGCCCCTGCCTGGACCTTTGCCTTGTACCTGGATTTATCCCTCTAGTCTCGCCCTGTTGATTCTGTTTGCCGATCGTAGACCCACACTAGCCCTAGGTTTATTCTTGTGTCTTGCCCTCTATATACCTGTTGCCATTGTCTGACCCTTGCCTGTTTCTGACCACGTCTCTTAAATAAAAGCTTGCAGATGGATCCGCACGTCTCACGTCTTGTCAACCCCGTAACAGCCAGTCAAAGCAAGCTCCAAATAAGAACCAAGCTGATTATACACCTATTGAAGTAAGTTTCTGTAAATGAGATGATTAAATTATTTTGTACTTATGATAGCAACAACATTGAACATGTAATTTTTTTTTCTCAGGTGGTTGAGCCGTGGGACATTATTGGTATGGATTTAGTGGGAAAGCTCACACAAACCAAGGATGGTTACCACTATCAAGGTTATTATAGTTTTGAATTTTTAAATTCGTTTTATTTTAATATTGTTTTCAAATTTGCTATAAAATTCAGTTTAGTTTTATTAGTTTCATTCATATTTTTGTTAGTTTTAGTTTAGTTTTTATTTTGTGAATGCATTTTTATTTAGTTTTTATATAGTTTAGTTTCAGTTTAAGTTTCAGTTTTAATTAAAGTTTAGCGGAATTAACAGATCACTTCCAGAGCGCAGGCCAAAGAAAGACGTAGGCATAATTTAACCTTAGTGAGGCAAACATATAGCGACACAAAATTAGATAGATTGATTAGATAGTAAAAGTATACAAATATATGCCAAAGAAAGCAGGCAAGCCTTTTTTCACTAAATGAATCTACACAAGTCGCACTTAATGTCCAATGATGTGTGTTGAGATATTTAGTATGAAAATAAATGTAGCCTGATTTGGTTATGTCTTTTCTTATTTAACCATAATAATGATATTGTAACTGTGGTGTCTTGCTCACTTTTCCGTGAACAGCCGTGCATCAATCAAAACTGGGACTAATGAAATTCAATAATAACGGCAGACGCATTTAACAGTAAAGGCTTATATTTTAATGTTCTTTTCATTTATGAAGAATTATAAGCGTGTGTATGATGTGATTTAGCCAATGCACATTTGTTCAAAAGCCTGGCAGAGTGATCACAAGATGCTAGGCAAAAGTTTTGTTTTGTTTACAGGATGCGCATTCTCATTTTTTTTCTGTTAATTATCATGTTGCAGTGCATGTCTGTTTTTCTTCAAAGCACCAACTTAGAATGCCTAATGTTGGTTTGATTGCTTGTGTTACATGAGAAAATAAATAATCTTGCTTACCTGATGTAATAAATTTAATGCGAGTGCGGTTCGGGTTGCGACTCGCAGTCTTTATGTCAAACGGTTCTCGTCTGGTACAGAATTTAATTAGTGCTGCTGTCAGATAACGGGTCGGGTGTTCTGTTAACCCTCTTAGCGCCAAAGTCGCAAAATTGCGACAAGACGTCATACTTAATCAAATAGACTGTAGTTCCTAATATGGTGTAATATCTCATTTGTATTCCCTACCACTAGATGGCAGACATGTAGTACTTCGATTCTAGACCAAAATTACGTTACCTTCCTATTCAAAGTGTTCGAGGAAATAGCAGAGCAAGTGAGCTTTCGTGTCATTGATGCGGAAGCAGTTCAGTTCATAGTGTGCTGGTAAGATGTGAGATTTGTGAGAGAAAATCGCCAAATGGCTAATAAAAGTTGTACCGTGAGGATGTGTTGCAAATGTTATTCGCCGATTCTGACTCTGAAGGGGAATATTTTCCTTTTGGAAATGACGATCGGTCATCTTATAATTGCGCTTCTCCTGGTACATCTTTGCAGCACAACGGTGCCGCCGTGCAAGGCGAGAGTGTTCACGAAGCACACCGAGTGATGATTTCGACCCTTTGCCCAACGGGGATGGGGG